CCACAATGTGGATATTTCACTTGATTTTAGTTTACATGCTAATTTCTGTTCTTCCTGCAGTCTTACTGTAGTATTTGCACAACACTTTACTAGGAAAGGTATTTTCATGATTTTGGAAAAATCAGTCAGTGTCAAGTTCTTCAGGGCTTCACTGCTCAGAGCATCGTAGTTGAAAGGGACACACAAGGATCACTGAAGCCCAGCTTGAGCCCTGCACAGAAGCACCTCCAAGAGTCACACCATGTGCCTGAGAGCGTTGTCCAAACGAGTCGTGAACTCTGTCAGGGTTGGTTCTGTGGCCACTGCCCTGAGGAGCCTGTTCCAATGACCAGCCACACTCTCAGTGAAGAACCTTTTCCTGATATCTAACCTAAACCTCAGCTTCATGCTGTTCCCTTGGGTCCTGTCACTGGTCACCACAAAGAAGAGATCAGTGCCTGCCCCTCCTCTTCCCCTCCTGAGGAAACTGTAGACTGGGATGAGGTCTCCCCTCAGTCTCCTCTTCTCCAGGCTAAACAGACCAAGTGACCTCAGCTGCTCCTCATATGGCTTCCCCTCAAGGCCCTTCACCATCTTCATAACCTTTCTTTGGACGCTCTCTCATATCTTAATGTCTTTTTTATATCAAGGCATCCAAAACTGCACACAGTGCTCAAGGTGAGGCTGCGCCAGTGCAGAGCACAGCAAAATAATCACCTCCCTGGACCAGCTGGTGATGCTGTGCCTGACACACCCCAAGACACAGTGGGTCCTTTTGGCTTCCAGGGCACCCTCATATGCAATTTCTGTTGACCACAACCCACAGAGTCCTTTCCTCAACAGCTGCTGTTGGGCTGTCTAATATTTCATCCCACTTTCTGTGTTCTCTTGAATTGTGGCAGATTTTAATTTGGCATCAGTGGTGAACCTGCCATCTATATTTTCAGGCTATCAGGTGTAGCATGGTACTCATAGTTTAGCTTTTAAGTGTAATAAAGAGAGAACTGGTAACAGTCAAAACTGTGTAATGTTTTGCCTCTCCTAATTACACTGTTAATTCTGATTGCTGTATTTCTTGTCATGTTGGAAGGATTCAAATAACCTAACACTTATCCAATTTCTTTCTGGGTAGAATGGGCCTTCTAGCCAGAGACGAAGATTCAACCCCCAGCACCAAAACATGCGGCTCAATGGATCTCTTAAGGCACAAGGAGCCAGTAACGAGGCAGATCAAAATTCAAAGAGTGGCTCCAGGTCTGAGCACAGAAGACAGCAGCATAACAGCTTCAGATCTAAAAATAAAGGAGCTGTGAAAAATCAAGAGCAGCCTACAACTGCAAGGACCCCAGAGAATCCGACACACTCGGAGAAGCCCCGGCGGAAGCAGCACACGGCAGACGCTGCGGATCACAGGCCTTTCCAAGGCAGCGTGGGCAGGGGGTCCCAGTGCAATTTATGTCCTGCGAGGAGGGAGGTCTCTGCTGATGCCACTGTTCTTTCGGTGCCAACTGTGACTTTGGTGGCTTAAAACGTCACAGTGATGGCAGGCAGAGAAATTTAATCTCTTCATTTTAGTCTCTTGCTCGAAATGCTTGTTGGTGAAGAAAATAAGTCAGAACATAGTCTTCTAAATCTGTTGCTGCTTAAAACTTGTTGGTATCTTTATTACTTACTAATTATCAAAATTAAATCATACTTTCAAGGCTTTCCCCAATATCTTCACATTTATTTTGTGGTGACAGTACGGAATCTTACCAAAGCAGCATTTACTTCTTAGAAAATGAAATCTAGATTGGAAAAATAAATCGATAATTAAATTCATAATAGCAAAAACCTCTTGTAGATATGTGGTTATACCAGTCAACGTTATTTTTTTTGTAGAACAGCCTGTGTTAGAAGGATCCCAGGAAGTCTGTATGCTGTGGTCTGCAATGAAATCAGATGATCTTGTAGAATGTTTCAGCAAATCTCTATACATCTCTTTCTTTCTGTGCGTGTATCCACATACATGCATGCACACTCTATACACAAAGTTTTTTTATATACAAGAAGAGTTGAAAAGGCAGTTAATTTGATTTTAGCTTATTATTCCATAATCTGAGATCTTTAAATTCAAGTATAAATTGTATTAAATGTATTACATATTGGTATTTTTCATGGACAGACTATTTTTATGAGGCTGAGGAAATATGCTCATTTAAGTTTGGAATGTATATAATAATGGCTATTCAGATGCACAGCCCTGTTCTCCATCCTTATCACCACTTTTCTATGACTAGTTGGATTTTATTTTTTTGCATATGAAAAGTTGCAGGTCTTCTAGACTTGAATTCAAATTATTTTTCTATATTTTTGCTGTAGGAACCATCTGTCCATAATGAAAGCTATGACTAATAAATTACTTAGTCTTTATGTTCTGATTCTGTATTTCAGAAAACCTGTTTCTTCTGAAAATTAAAATCTTCTTTCTAAAATAGCCTGGTGTTTGCTGCTTTGCAGTGCCTAACCTTTGTATCTTTGAGTGCCCTCAAACTGTATTTGCTCAGTTCAGGTGGTGTCACTGGGAGGCTTTCAGCTGAGTTTGGACTGGACTAGGCTTTTGCTTTTAGTTGGATTTTAATGCCACAGGGCACGAAACAACTTTGCCATGAGAGCTGTCTCCATGCTGAACACACTTTTGATGTAAGTTATTGTTTACAGAGTAAGGTGTCAGAATCCAGACCTGGCATCAGGTGAACCTGAGTGTCACAATCAGAAAGGCATAGAAGGTCAGTAAGATTGACCTCCCATTGATGTTTCAGTAAGAGCAGGAAGATACTTAAGTATCTTTAAAAGATAATGTTATTGTTTACTATTGCTTTTTACCAATTTTCCTCTGCCTAATTTGTTTGTTGACTGAACTCTTCCTTATTACTAACTGGTTTACTGTTCCTCTGTGGCCCTTAAAAAGTAATCTGCAAGTGTAGAGTGAGGTGCATTCCTTAATTTTTACTTCTCTTGATATCTGTATACTGTGTCCCACATATGAATATTGGTAAAACCTGATTTTAAAAGGCAAATAACTCATCTTCATCTGGAAGAGTGGTGAAAGAAATATAAACATGCATAGGTAGACAGTGGCTTTCTTAGTATTGCAAGCAGTGTTATTATCCAGTTGAATTACCTATCACACTTTTAAGCTGAATGTTTTTGAGTAGATGGAGTGGAAATTCCAGAATCTCTGTTGTGCAACACCCATCAGATAGATAGCTTTTCAAAATTTATCTGCTTCCTTACAGTCTGACCTGTAACCTCACTCTCTAAGAGAGATATCATTACAAATTCCATGCAGATATTACAGAGGAATCTTCTTATATTGTCCTTCTCTAAGCTGTGAAATTTGTCTCTTCTTGTAACCCTTCCTAAAAAAAACGAAAATCCAATTTATCTATAATGACATTTATTCCTTCCCAATAGCTTCTGCACGTGACAGGATTATTGAAAGTTATTTTTTTCCCTAAATCAGCTTCTCACAAGCAGCCTTCTACAAATAAATAACATCCATAACAGAAGCCATAACTCAGCACAACAGGACCACCTTGTGCTCTTCAGTCCAGGCTAAGTTCTGAAGTACAGGTGCCTCAGTATGTGACAGACCCAGGCCCAACAGGTGAAGGATGGCCCTTCTCTCGTGATGCACGTGTATTTTCTTTGCTGAGAGCTGCAGGGGGTTGGTTGGGCTGGGGAGTGGGCTGGTTCTGGGGGTGCTGCAGTTTTAGCACACCAAGTGTTGTCTGCTATCTCTGCTGATTTTGGAAGTTCATTGCACTCCATATATTAACTACATTATGTGGCTGTTCTCTGACATGTAGCTGTAGCAGAACAGTATCTCTTCATCTTCATTTCCTGTGTCTCTGTGTGCCAATTTCTAGGAGTGTTTTACTGTTCACAGTAGTTGTGAGTAACCAAATGCTCTTGGGCCCATCTTCAGTGGAGCTCTGTTTTTATTTCTCATTACAGAGATGGCTAAGTGTGATGCTTCATTTAAGGAAGGGAACTTGTACAGGGGTCAGTGAGGGAACTAAGGGCAGGGCAAGGCTCGACATCCAGGCCAGTCCTCTTTTATAAAAAGTGCCCTCCATTTGCAAAGCAAATACAGCTGTTTGACATCACTCAAACACAAACATGGAATTCCCACTGCCCTTTGTTTGCTCTTTCAGAAGTGGAAACAGACCTTAAAGGTCACTATTTTAGAGCAGGTTGGATCTGTTTATCTTCTGTGCAAGATTAAACTCAGAGTGAGGGCAGAACCCAGCAAAATAAAGATCCAAATACAGCTGGAAAACTAAAAAGAGAAGGTAACTTAATACAGTCAAACTGTTTGGAAAACTTTGATTAGTTAGCCATGTTTGGAAAAAAAAAATTAAAAAGAAAAAGTCACTTAATGTGCTTCAAAATTGTCACCCTGAAAGAGAAACTAATCATTCTAGAATGGAAACACTGATCTTTCAGTGCTTTCCTGGACCCTGTTGTCATAGGGGAACCCCAGGTCTGAACTTGTATGGATGTGAATCTCTTATCCTATGAAGTGATTGGGCTGCATCAAGATTTTATCCACCAGCCACATCCTTCCTGTTCATACACGTGGGACTACAGCAGAGGCTCCATGGGATCCAGAGGGCTCGAGTTCCAGCACCACTGCCAGTCACCCATGTGAGGGCACAAGAGGAATTTGCCAGAAATTTGAGACATTACAGTTATTTTATTATGACAGACTACTAAAACAAACTGTTCACGGTGTTCATGTGTGTTGTACCAGAGAGAGAGGAAAAGGGCAAATTCGAAAAGGGTCCAAATCCTTGATGCAAACTCTGGGCACACTACACAGCTGGTTGTGTGATGCCATGAATTTGCGAAGTAATTTTCGACCAAGAGTGATCAATTCTGGTATAATATTATTATATTATTATTATAAAGATAACTCTTTAAGAAGATACACCCAAAAAGCTCAGAAAGCAGCTAAGTTCTGTAACATCAGCTCTACCTGTTTCTACTGCTTAACAACTTTTATTGACAGCTGCTGCCTAAAATTAATCTCGTTTTTTGAGGGGCTTTTATACAGTTTTATTTCTAACCATGTTTTGACTCTGTAACTGCAGCTGAGGGACAGACAGCCAGCTTCCCTCCCAAGTTTTTGATAGCATAACTGGCCTCCTGATTTTAATTGTGTGAGAATCTGTCCTTCATGGACTGGGAGGAAATAAGTAGACCAAATCTGCTTACTCCTGGGTAATGGTAGGATTTCTTTATTAGAAACAGTAAGATCTGAACTACATAATGTTTATTATCTAAGTAATTTAATGTAATCTGGTTTAAAAGAGTATGTTTGTGCTCTGAAAGAGCTGGTAGGGAAATAACTGGAACATTCTGAAAGAAAAATGAGTTAGCTTTGGTATTTCCAGGACTCTTCAGCTAAAAACAAACCTGATGAAAACACTCCCTGAGGATCAGTGACAACATATGCCTATCACATGAAATAATGCTTATACCAAGTACAAATGAGTTCTCCACACTCCAAAACATACAGGTAGAATCACATCTATTTGAATCACGTTTTGGTGATAATTGGCCCTCTGGACGTGTCATCACAGAGGAGTAATTTTATAGAAATCCAAGTTGGAATTATGATTTTCTTGTCTCCTTAACCCATATGATGCCATATCATTGATGGTTTGGAAAGACTGTAGTGTGAAAGTAAGAACTAAACAACTGGAAAACTGACAGCATTTGTATGAAAAAAATTATGGCATCAGACTGTACTGGGGATACCCTCTGTCAGCATTTGCAGTGCTCATATCAGAGCCTGGATTACTGAATTGGAGTCACTTCTGAACATGGACTTTTCTGAACATGATCTCTGCTGTAATGACTTTCAGAATCATTCAAAGTAAACCATTGTCACACCACTCGACAACACCTCTGGTCCCACTCTAAAACTGTAGGTGAGCTTTAGCAGTTTCCCCAGCTGAACTGTCCAATCTGTGCACTCAGTGTGTCACAGTTTGTCAGTGCAGATGCAGTAAGAATCCTTCACTTGAGTCAGATAAGTGAAATATTAAGTGAAATACAGATGAAAGTCTGCAGTTGGCAGACTTTCAAGAAACTTGGGACTATACAGTTTTGAAGAAATTTCAACCAGTAGCAAACTCAGACTTGCAGAATTTCTGCTCCTTGTCCCAAGGCCTCCAAAAACATTCTGTTAGCCAGGTTAAGGGATAACTCATCCTTTGGCTGGTAAATTTAATTTGTTTTCAACTACTGGCCTCCCAGAGAAGATGAAATTTTGTTTCCACATTCCAAAAGGCTTTGGGTAGATAAGGGCAAAGGTATTATGGTGAAAGTCAACATGAAGGTTAATGCTATTAATCTATGATAAAACTGTTCAATACCAGTCCATCAGTTAAGAGAAACTTAACAAGATTCTGTGATATAAAAAACATGTTGGAAGAGCTTACTCAGTTAAGTTAAAAGGCCATGTCCAATTAAAAATAAATAAATAAAATCAAGTCCCTCAAAAAATAATTGATCTTTCTTTACCTCTCCACCACAGCCACTTTGCTCTTTCATCTATTGAAATTCAAGGCAGTCTTTTTTGGTGGTTTTTTATTCTTTTAACCACAAGCTAGTATGTCCAGGACAGAGAGAAGGCTCATTAAAGCCACTGCAAATGACATGAATGTTGCTCCAAAAATACTGTGCTACTAGAATAATTAAATAAACACTGAGGTAGTGCAAACTCAGAAAGTCCTGTAGGATTATTCTCAAAGTTTTTTTCTTGAATGCATGCAAAATTCTGTACTTTTTGTGAGCTTTAGTGACAGTTGGATTCAGTCATCTCAAGAGTCTTCTCTAACCTGAATGATATTCTGTGATTCTGTGTTTGTAGAAGCTTTCTAAATTTGTCAACAGTTGAAGAGGAAAGAAATAAGCTTTAGGAAGCTTTGTAAAAAGATTTAAAAGTGTGTGGTAAAGTGCTCGGCTACTGAATAAAAGGTCACACAGAAGATAAGTACTAAAAACTGCTTTTCAACCAGATCTTTAGGAAAAACAAGTTTCACAGACTTAGTCTCCATGATGAATTGCATGTTCAAAGAATATCATGTTTGTATATTTCCATAATTTTTGATTTTTCCTTTGTTCAGTGAAAGTTTTTTTGTCGAGTTAGGAAGAGCCTCAGTATTGTGATCTTTAGGTTTATTAAGAAAAGCCTCTAGCTTAAAGATTCTAAAGGTCAGCTGGTCTTTCATATACATACCAACCACAGAGAATGACAGTACTGCACACCTTTACAGTGGCTACTGTTCAAGGCAAAATGTCTCCCTAAAAATATGTTAGTACATGAAAAATTGGGGTTTTTACTTGTGCAGGTGATGTGTCAATTCCTTCTGGTTAGGAGAAAAGCCAGAAAATGTGATGGCTTCTAAGTGATCTAGAAAATAAAACATTTAAAGAGCCCTTCTGTAGCTCTAATAGTCTCAGGAATGTTAAGAAGGGTGCATTTTGGCAATGCTCTCAGTGTTTAGAGACAGCTCTATTTACTGCACTGGAAGAGCAAAAGCACTCGTAAAACCAGCAAAAAAAACCCCAGCACCCAACTGTAAGCAAGGGTACAAAACAAAGCCAGTTTTTGTCCACTGATTTAAACAACTAAAAGGGCTCTTTAAAATCAGTGATCCACATTCACCTTTCCTCTCCTGATAGAAACACCCAGCAGCTCTTCATTTCAGCACCACTCCTCAGCATTTGCCCTGGAACAAGAACGTCTCCTCTGCCCTGCCTGGGGGGAAGGAGGGGGCAAAACCCAGGGCACCTCCAACCTCAGTTTCTGTGCTTTGCTGCACAGAAGCTGAGGTTGTCCCCTCCTAATTGGAAAGGACCTGCAGAAGGACACGGGAAGGCCACTGTAACTCAGACTTGTGAGGTTCCTGCAGCTCCAGAAAACCCACCCCACAGTGATGTGACACAACACACCACGGCTGCAGCCACCTCCCACCAGTGCCAGATCACACCCCTGCTGCCAAAGCAGTAAATGTGTGTCTCTGGGGAAAAATGGCCTTGTTACTCCCAAGGCATGCTCCTTCCTTTCCTGTATTTCTGAATTTCCTCACCGAATACAAGCAAAGGTGGTCCCTTTCATTGCTGTTAAATAACAAAAATGGTGATTTACCCTCACCAGAAGTACCAGGAAGTACCACTGAACTTCCTGGAGTCTTCACAGCACTCAGTGTGTTGCACACTTGTAGCAAACTTGTATCTAAGAAAAGCTACTTGGTTTTATCTATTTTTCCCCACTTAAAGGTACAAATTAAGGTTAACTCTAGTTACTGTTAACAGTAGTTGAAGTTGATAAAGAGGTCTGTCTTTATGCTGTGCAAGTACTCCCTTTAAAGTATAGCCCAACAGAATGTGAGATACTGGAACATTAAACTGCACATGCCCAATGTTTGAGGGTTTTTTTTAATCTGTTTTTCTTTCTCCCTTCCCAAAATCTAAAAAAAATTTAAAGAAGAAAACACACTTCAGTGCTCACTTGAAACAATTTCTTCATATGCTTTTCATGAATTCCATCACCATTTTACACCTAATCTTTGATAAATGACCACATGAGACGATGATCTCTTCTTTGACCCGATGATGCAAAGCTGTCCGGTCTATCAGGCTGAGTCAAACATTATCCATCCACTTTATCATCCTTAATAATACTTTCTGCTAATACAGCTGGTTCTTTCTTGTTCAGTGCCACCGAAGTTGTAGGGATTTCACCAGCAGCACTGTCCTGTTCACTTGTTTTACTGGCTACAGAGGGCGGTGGCTGAGATGGTGTCACAAGAAGTGGAGTTCGTTTCAGCTTCACTACACGGCTGTTTGCAGGCCCTGCCATCTTGACTGTCATTTGGCTTGGTGTCCCACTGCCAGCACTCTGCCTTCCACAGGGCACCTGGGCATTGCTGGGCACCAGTGTGCATGTTGTGGGTGTGGTTTCAGAAGCTTCTCTGTGCAGTGTCAAACTTTCACTGTTGGGTCGTTTAAGAGTTGCTGCAGAACGTGAAGCCCTGCAAGCAGCTACCTTTAGTGAAGCTGAATTCTTGACTTTGATGTGGGTACTTGTTGAGGGACCTGAGAATCTGATTGGCTTGGGACCCACTTTAGATGGCAAACAGTCTTCCTCTTCAGTACAGTCAGTTAGTCGTCTGTAATATAAGGACCTTTATTAAATAAATGAACTATATATGCAAGTTATTCTTTTTATAACACTAATACCACACAGTCAATATGTAACAGCCAACCACAAATAGGAAGTTATTTTAATTTTTGCTTGTTACCATATCATTTGTGGTTCCCAACAGTTCATCTCTACAACCAGGCTTGCCTTTCTGTGAACAGAACAACCAATCTCTTCTACCTCTGTAAGATGACACATTAGCAGTGAAATGGCTGTAGGGTGGCTCGGGTAGGTAACTGTGTAACAGCACCTGCAAAGGGCTGCTTTAAGTTAATGCATTGAGAATGGAGGTGTAGTCAAAAGTATCACCATTAAACTGCAGAGAGGAAATTCTAGAAATTCCTTCTAAAAAGAAAGCATCATACATATGTGAAAATCAGTTAACCTTTTAAAGTTTTCAGGTAAATTTCTGTTTTAGCAGTCCATTTAACTAGCACTGCTCTCTACATTTTGAAATTACTCCTTGCCAGGAGTAAAGATACCTCTAAGATAAAGGTAATTTGTTTCTAGCAAGTTCAGTTCTTCAGTTGAGCTCTCTTAATTATAAGACATTTTATAAAACTGTAAATAAAAAACCAGAGAAAACTCAACATGTATAGCTATTTAAGGAACCTGCAATTATAAAGGCAAAAAAAAAGATTGCACTGTGTTTGTGCTTAGTTGAAAGCCATCTACGTGAATCAGCATACCTTTTATAAACTGGTGGCATATGATGCAAACTGCCTTTCAGAGGGCGTTCCTCAAGAGTCCAACATTCAATCAGCTCCTGGGGCACTCTCCAGTAGCTGACACCTGCATTTATATGCAAAAATTGTATTGATGAGCTGAGAGAACACAGCCAACATCATGAGTGTAGACATCTGACCAAGGGAATAAAACACACAATACATGTGTTTTATGCAGCAGAATTTCAGCTTTGAAACTGTTGACATGAACATTGTTTACAGCCAGTGGGCTTCTTCATTCATGTCAGCTCATGTCCCCTCCTTGGAACATCCCTTAAGACTTCCCCCCTCCCCCAGATAGCCATTGCTATGGAATATTTAACATTACAAGTCAAATATTATGAAGAGTTTTCATGATAGTTAATTAGCAAATATTTTTCTTATTTTTCTGTTAAAAAGTAGTACTACTGGAATAAAAATTCATACTTTACCTCTCCCTTCCCAGGCATCGAAAGCATCCATCATCTTTTTCAGTTCAGCAACTGAGTAATAGCTCCAGATGTACTGGACATTATTTCCAGCTTCTCTAGAAATATTGTTTTAAAGGTAACAGTTATGTGATAAATTTAGCTAAGTCCTTAAAAATGTAACACTGATGAAATGTATCATTCTTTTTACCAAATCCTAACTACAAGGACTTAGCAGTATATGTTTATAAAGGAAAATGTTACTTGAATTTCATTTTCATTTGAATAAGAGGTTCTTATCCTCCTGTGAATACCTATTGCTAAAAATGGATATTTCATGAAAGAACAGATGTTCATAAAATAATAATTACAGAATTAATGGTGTAAAATCTATTCTTCTAGATCCCAATCATTTATTCAAAGGGAAAATACAGTAGGAGGACAGATACCTGATATACTGTGTTTCCAAAATACTCTTGGAATAAATATTAATATTCCCGGCCTAAATTTAGGAAAATATCCATCTTAATTATAACGATTATGAAACATCAAAAGCTCTCTCTTAATCAAAAGATACACAGTGAAGTGCACTTCTGACACTGTACTGTGGGACCAAGAGAAAGACAAATTGCTTCCAGTAGCAAGTACAGATCTGCCAATACTTCAACCTACTGCCATAAAATACATTAATAGTGTAGTAGAGATGAACATGATCTTTATAGAATTAAAAGTATCTTTATTTCTTGGTGTTCAGCTGTCTTGGAAGACTGCAAAGTACAATTGCATGAATCATAACTAACTTTGCAGATATTTCTGGAAGTTTTTCTGGATGGGGATTCATTCATTGTATTTAGTGTAAATATTAGAAAGTAATTTTAAATTGTTGAGACATTTTAAAAATAACAAGTCAAACATAATGAGAACTAACAGCAACTACATGCCAACCACCGTGTGTGGACTCTCAAATTCTTGTACTCCGTGCTTAGTTTTTACTTTGTTTGTTTGTTTCATGTGACCATTTGTTTGTTTCATCGTGACCAGCTGTTTCTGGAGATGGAAAGAACCTGATTCCTTCCACAGATTTATAATACAATCATGCTCTGTTATGCTACGTACGATAATATTAGGCATAATTATAATATGTGAGATTATATTCTGATTTCATAGTGCCTTCATGTGTTTGACAGTCACCTTACCTTTTGTACATGCTTTTACTGTGAATTTTCGTTCCTAGCGCCTTATTAATTGCATCAGTCCCATCAGCTCTGGTGGCATACACACCCAGAATTTTACTTTCACAGCTGGCTCCAGATGTGTTGAGATAGTGCAGGACCCACACTGTAGGCTTGGTACAAACTAAATCATAAGAATCACAGAAATCTAACAAAGCCTAAACCATAAAACAAAAAATACAGAATATTAATAAAAATATAATATCTTTAGTTGAATAAACTGTCATATTTAAATTTTCTTAAGTGCACCAGTGAGCTCTTTTAAGTAAATCGAGGATGCAGTTTTTCTGGAATGCTGGCTACAGTATTTCTTATCTGATGTTAACAGAGATTGTTGGGAAGCTAAGAGAAGTTTAAAGAAAATCAACAGAAATACTTGAAGGCATGGCAGCTCCTTAATATGAAGAGAAACTCAAAGGCCTGGAAATATTTTCTGCTTTTCAAAAGGAAATAAGTAAGGAAGAATGTGAAATACATAAAACAATAGCTTATTAAGAGAACACAGATAATTGTCAGGACTAACACAGCCAGACCTGGTAATATAAACTAATTTCCAATCTATTAACTAGAATTAGCTTTTAAGTTTTACTCCAAAATTGACAAACCTTAGGATTTTAAATAGTATAGTAATTTTATTTTCTCCTTTCTTGTTCTAAGAAAATGTCAAAGTACATTTTGTCTTTCAAGTTTTAGGATGCATTTGTGAAACTAAAAAAAAATCAAACAAAACCTCTTGAAGGGATCAAATCTAATCTCAAGTAAAATTTGAAACCTAATAGGAAACTAAATAATGTCATTCCTGCTATGCAAGTTTTACAGCAGACGTGCATGTAGAACAAGAGTCAAATTTAAACTGTTGTTGTATTGCAATGATGGGAAAAGCTGATGTCCTTAACTATTCTGACTGCATTATCAGCTCCAGGATTTCTTAAGCTAAAATTGTGAATTTACTCATGATTCAGGGTGTGATTAATATGCACATACTGCATACTGCAGTACTGCACATACTACAGTTTTAGTATCTGGTGCTAATGAATGGTGCAGATTAGACAGTCATGGCTAGGCTTCGCGAACGAAGATTTGAAAGGGCTCTACCCATGCTTGCTACAAGCGCGCTGATGGCTAAAGATTAGACAGTACAACTTAAAAAATACAAGAACTGTTAAGACCTTTTTAAGCTCTATATTTGACCTTGAAGAATATGTCTCCATTTCATTGGCCAAATGGTCAGACAGACTGTATGGATAAGGGATTCCAAAATAATCTGCTTCTTCCTGCAGTGCAATTCGAATTTGTTCATCTCCAGGAATCCGAACTTCTCCATGAAGATAATCCAAAAGATATTTAAACAGGCTTCCATCTCGATCAATTAGACATGCTCCTGAAAACATAAATAAAATCATTTAAAATACTGCTTCCAGCAAGTGAAGACAAACTTGTCACATTCTACCAAATCATCAAGCAAAGCCTTTTGTATAAATCTTCTGTGCTAGTTTTACTTGGAGGAGTAAGTATACTGTCTCTGTTCTTTTAAAACTATATTTTGTTTCTCTGGAATATTTGTGATTTGAAGCTAAAATTTTTTGTGCAGAGAACATTTCTTTGGAATTTCAGTGAGATCACTAATCTGCACACTGTGCTGAGGATGTTCTAATCTAATTCTAGACGCATTTCTAATTCGAACTGCAGCTACATCTTTACTCACTATTCCAGGGATCTTGTCAATTTTGGATCTGGCCATTTAAAAGACTTAAAAGTAGCATCAGCTCCAGTACACATCTAGTCAAACCATCCTTGAATATTGCTGAAGTTTTACTGTATTTTTTCTCTCCTTTACCTGCCGGGCTCAAGGACCCTATGGAAACCAACCAATCCATACAGGGCCATTCACTGCAGCTGTAAAGGATGGTAGCTAAGTCTTGCCCATATTAATGTCAAACATTTCAGATATTTTGAACAGTCCAAAGTGTGCAACAAGGAACTACTATTCTTCAGCCATCATATCTTTAAACTGGACATACTTTGGCAGGATTTCCAAGTCAAAAACAAGTGTGAAATTTGACCCATGAATAGTTTTATTCAAACTTTCATATCAAGCCACGGTGGTGAAAAATGCAGTCCTTACTGGGTAATGAAGTATTCTGAAACAAAGATTAGACCCAAATCTCCTTCTGTAATGAACAGAGAGAATGAGATGCCTCTGGAGAATATAGGGGTTCACAAACAGGATCCAAGTTAAATGACAAATACTCTGTCAACTTCAATTTAATCTGTTTTCATATTCATACTGAAGAAGTACATTCTGAAGCTGCGGTTTTGACTGGGACAGGGTGTATTTGCCACTGAGCTCCCTGATCAGAATATCATATTTACAACTTCAATATATTTACCTGATTCATCCACTTTTAGAGGAAAGCGTCCACTAAACATAGAAGCCAGCATTGAGTCCTTAAAGCGACACAAGGACTCACGCCTGGCTGTGTACAAACATCCTCGCACATTAAGTCGCAGAACACTCTGGACGTCTTCGGCCTTGCCCTCTTCCATTGCATTTGCCAATGATGATGTTCATTACAAGCTATTCAAGCCTGAAACAGATACAAACAGAAGTAAATCTAATGCCAGTTACAGACTGAACATACCACATACAAGACCTAAGCATTAGATCAGCTCTTACATCTTACATGATACCACTTTGAAAAGTTCTGGAGATGTATTGGTGTAAATAGTGAAATATTCCACACCTTTACTATAAAAAGTGATGGCCTTTTACTTTGCTAGGAAACACAGAGGTTGCTCTTTTGAGACAAATGGGCAATCAGAATTACGTGGTCAGAATGTGTGAGCAGAGCACTGGCAGGACATCCTGGGAAATCTTGTTTTGAGTACAGTTCACAGCACTACAAATGCAATAATTCTGTACTAATAACAACGCGGCTTCTTTAAAATCCGGTCTGTGATTACAGCTGTTTTCATCAGCTGGGCCGCTCGCTCCCTCCCTCCCTTTCGTGGGGCGCGGCTCCGCCACACAGGGGGACGCGCCCCCGTCCCCGCGGGTTGTGGCCGGGCCGGGCGGCTCAGCCCCCGCCGGGCAGGGGTCCCGCCGCCATCCCGCGTTACCTGCGCCGCCGCCTCCCCGGCAGGGCCGCCTCACGGGCCTCGCCTCCGCAAAATGGCGCCGGGGAGGACCGGGCCGGGCCGGGGCCGAGCGGGGAGCGCAGGGGAGCAGCTCGTGTGCCGCTGCGGCGCCATCGACAGCACCATCCCCGGGGCACCGCCGGCCGCCCGAGGGTCCCTGCCCGCGGGTACGGCGGGTTCTCCGACTGCAGGGACCCCTGGGGCTCGGCTGCTGCCGCCTCCCCGGCGCTGCCCGCAGGGACTCCCTGCGGTACGGCTGTGGTGCCTGCGCCCGCCGAGGTGAGGCTTACTTGAGCACAGTCGGCTACTGTGAAAGGCACAAACCCTTCCAAGAACGCGCTTTTTCTGGTGTTTTGTTTGTTTGTTTGTTTTTGTTTTGTTTTGGGGTTTTTGTTTTTGTTTTGTTGTTGGTGGTTTGGGGTTTTGTTTGGTTTTGTTTGTTTGTTTGTTGTTTGTTGTTTCCCCCAGAGTACGTGTTCATTCAAAGTGGGTTTGATTCAGTTGCTGGTTTTATAGTCTCAATGGCCTGGGTTGGAAAGAACTTCAAAGATCATCTAGTTCCAACCCCCCTGCCGTGGGCACGGCCACGTTCCAGTAGACCAGGTTGCTCGAAGCCCTGTCCAACCTGGCTTTGGACACCTCCCGGGATGGGACATCCGCAGCCTCTCTGGGCAGCCTGTTCCAGCGCCTCACTGTCTTCAGTGTAAAGAATTTTTTTTCTAATATCTAATCTAAACCTACTCTCTTTCAGCTTGAACCCATTACCCCTTGTCCCGACACTACATGATCTTCTACACAGTCTTGCCCCATCTTTTCTGTAAGCTCCCTTCAGGTACTAGAAGGCTGCAATTAGGTCACCTCGAAGCCTTCTCCTTTCCAGGCTGAACAATCCCAGTTCTCTCAGCCTTTCCTCATAGGAGAGGTGCTCCATCCCTATAATCAACTTGGTGGTCCTCCTCTGGACTCACTCCAACACATCCATGTCCTTCCTGTGCTGGGGACCCCAGAGCTGGATGTGGCACTCCAGGTGAGTTCTCACCACAGCGGAGTAGAGGGGCAGAACCCCCTTCCTTGCACTGCTGGCCACGCTGCTTTTGATGCCGCCCAGGACACAGCTGGCTTTCTGGGCTGCCAGAGCACATTGCTGGGCCATGTCCGGTCTCTCATCCACCAGCACACCCAGGTCCTTCTCAGCAGGGCTGCTCTCAATCTGAGAGCAGCTTGAGCTGCCTCCTACCCACCCCCCCATGCTCCTGTTTTACTTCACAGTGTGGTGGAGTCCCTCTGGCCAGCCTGGACCAGGGCGGTGGCTTTGGACCAAGCTGATTATATGCTTAGAATATAAAATATTTTTATATATTATATATAACATTTCTTATATAATAAGGTATAACTGAATACCAAATGTTAACAATATATTTTAATTGCTACCTGAAGTCCAGTAAAAATCCACTTACTTAACTGTACACTGCATATATAAGAAATGTGCCTTTATTGTATTTAAATAGTTTGCTCAGTTATATCTGCAATTCCTATTGATTTTCATCTTGTATCATCCTAGTTTTTTAGTCATAATTTCCTTTTGGAGGTGTCTTGTTACCTGTTTAAGGTATTTAGAACTTCAGCCACGGGTTCACTTGCTATAAGGTCAGATCAAAGGATGTGTAACACAGAGCAGCTACAGTTCCAACTCTGCTGCTTGCTATACTCCGGTCTACAGTTGCAGCAGAGGTAAAATGGCATTTCAAGCACCATGGCTCTTGTGCTCCTTGAACAGTCCTTGGCCAAGAATGTACCCAGGAGCCAGGTCTTTGATGCTTTATATCTAAATAATTAAATAAGCCCACAAGTTACAGCATGCTACTGAATGCAATACAGACTGATAATTCATGGATGTTGGACTTACTATAAAATAAGTGAAAACAAATATAATAGATTATTTTTGTAGAGTAATGTATCTAGTTTAACTGTGTCTTTAGTAAGGATAATAATGTGTATTTTCTCTTACTCGCTAGGAATAGTTCGTACATACCAGCTGCTGCTTAAACAGGGCCATTTTTATCAAGTGTTGCAATGTAGTAAGTGCAGTAAGTGTAACTTCCAGTCTTTCTTACTCTGAAAGTGTGAGAATTTCTTGCTTCTTTCCTCCTTAAAGCTGGCTTGGTTTTGCCTCAAAAGTCTGAAAAATGCTCCTTCATGTATTTCTGCATTGTGAGACCAGAACAATGTACACTCAATACAATGTTTCACTCAATACATGTATGCACACACACACACTCAATGCAATAAATTTTGGACCTTGGATTTAACCATGTGAACTATCATGACTATTCAAGCTTAGTACAGCATGTACTTGGCATAGAAGCCTGCAGCAAAACCAACCCACACAAGCAAACTACCTTTTGAGCTACACGCACACAGGGGTGTTTCTGTTTTGTTTTTCACTAGTTTCCCAAGGCAGCCAGGCTTACACGCTCATCCTCTGCATATTTGTGTTTCAATTTACTAATTGCAGTTAAATTCAACAGAGAGGAAGAGCATTAAGAAATGGATTTTTCATTAAGCTTGTGCAAAACAGGGTGTGATTAGAGAAAGATAAATTCTTAATCGTGTAATTTCAGGAAAAGCTACAGCATGAGCTCAGGTCTCGTTGAACATCAGAGAATCCACAGAGGAAGAAGTTGTTCTATGTAATCTACCCATCAGAAATGCTTTAGTCATAGCTCACACTTTACTACACCCTACAGAATTAATTCCTCAACCACGATTCTTCTCAGACATGAATATGCAGGTATCTAGTAAGGTACAAATTCAATTCCCACGTGATTAGAGCTTTTACAACAGGTCTGTCTCTCTGTGTGTCTTTCCCTCACTCCTTTTCATTTCTATTCAGTTTAAAGACCAGTCATAGGATCCCTGATGGATGACTAAAACACAGAATTCTGTTCTTAATACACATTTAAGATATATAGGCTGTGAAACTTGGCAGTGGTTTAAGTTTTTCCCAACTTTGAGCAGCTGGCAATTAACTGGAGATTTTTACATGTGAAGGGGCACAGTGTGGAAGTTCCTCAATGGATAAAGGAAAGTATGACCATGGGTGGAAATGCAATGCTTCGCATTTTGTTTTAAATTTATTGCCCACAGTAGTGACACAAACACTGAATGGAAGCAAATTGGCAACTGCCCCTTCAGGACTTGAGACCATTGTGGAACTGGAGGATATAACGAAAACTTGTTATTGGATCTGGAGGAAAACCCTGCCTTCTGGAGAGGATAAGGAGGTAAGTTGTATTTGATTGGCTTTCTATTTTTAAAGTTATGTCAGGTTGTTTGCTTTTTTATTTGGCCAGAGTTTTACAGTGGCTACAGCCACTTCCAAGTTTCCTTGTAAGGGAAAATGTACCAAAGGTATATAATGTGTGCTGGATCAAATCTGTATTTTAAGGGTTTTGCCTAGAAGCACAGGGTTTTGCAGCTACAGGGCCACACTGAGAAACTGTGCCATATATCATAAAAAAAAAAAAAAAAAGAGGTAGAAAAGAGAGACTCTCCAGATGCTCTTTGCAGCAGATTATGAAAATAATAAGTTCAAAAAGATCCGTTTTCACGTAATGCTACTGATACTTCATGTGCAATTCCTTTGACTTACTTTGTAGCATATTGTAATGTCAGCACACGGAAAGGTAGGGTTTTCATGATGATTACTGGACTACAGAACCTGGTGCTGCTTTTTATTTCAACCTTCTGCATCTCAGTAAATCTTAAAGTAAAACATTAATTCTCTTTACTCTAAATTTACTGATTCCTGGAACAAATGAAGGAATTAATGTCCATCTGAGTGATAGGGCTGGACACACATAGCCAGTGAAAGACAATGTATGTGAAGAGAGTGTTCAAGAGCAAGGGCTTTTGGGCTCAGAAGAGATTTTGGTGAAAAGCATTTGATTAAACTAAAGTACTTCCTTGCAATTCACAGTCCTAATAATATCTGAACCAAGTTAAAAGTGGGCTTGCTCAAATTCTGTTATCAGACTCTTGCCCTTGCAAGTTGGTAAGTATGCAGGCAGAATGTATTGATAGAATCTATTGGGTTTTAAATTAATCACTGCTGTCTTCATAACTGTCTTGATTCCTGTCTATTCAGTTTGTCATTCCATCTATTACTAATAGTTCCAAATCAGCTACAAGAAATTTAACTTTCCACTGAGAAGGAATTACGTGGATTTCTTCTTTTAACCTAAATGAAGTCTTTGAACTGAAAGCCAAACCTATCAGACTCTTCCTAAAAATCTCTGACAGCCAGGTGGAATACCTATAGTTCCCTGCTTCCTTCCTCACAGTGTACTGAGACTGATGCTAAGTGTTTATAAAACAAATATTTAAAAAAAAAATTAGCATTATTAATGGTTGGTGTTTAAAATGGTTTTGCGAAGACATATTGTTGTGAAGTTACAGACGCCCCACTCCTTTTTAAATCACCCAGAAATGCCAAGAAAGAACTGGAACTGTGGATTAAAGGTTGATGACTTCTGCATCTCCCCCTTCTGCAATGTCCTGGAGCATTGGTTGGAGCATGGATCAGATAACATCAAGCTTACAGGTTTGATCCCTATGTGGACCATTCATTAAGAGCTGGACTTGATAATCCCCGTGGGTCCCTTCCAGCTCAAAGCATCCAGTGAACCCGTAAGTACGAGCACATGGGAACTATTTTAACGCAGGTAATTCTGCATGTCTGTTACAAAACCGCTGCAGTGCCTTTCCTGTTTTAATCAACGTACGCCGGGCTGCCGACACGGGAGGGGTTTACATGCAGCCGTTCCGGCCTGGCTGTGCATCTTCCCTGGAGGATCAGGCGGCTCCCTGGGCACGATGTGCCCAACGCAGCGCCCGCCCCGCGCGCCGCCGCTCGTGCCGGGCCCAACCGCCCCCCCGCCCGCGGGCCCCGGCGCGAGCGCAGCCGTTGGGCCGCGAGGGGGCGCTGTGAGGGCGGGGGGGCGCTGTGAGGGGGAACTGTGAGGGGCGGCTGGAGCCCCGTCAGAGCACTAGGCTGGGACATCGCCCCCTGTCCCACCTCTGCTTGTCTCTCTCTCTCTGCTTAAATTTACAGCATTTATAATTCGGTTTATTTAATCGTGTCAGATTTAAAATCTGTCCTGACAAAGCACAAGCTGGTCTGGTCGTCTTGTGA